GATTTGGGGAAATTAAAAAAAAAAAAAAAAGTAGCGCTGGAGGCTTGGTTTTTAATTATTTTTGAAAACGGCGATGTAAGTCATTGGTGCTTTCAGCACCTTGATGATGCAGAACTCTGGTTTTGCACGTAGCAGAGCTTGGTTTCACACGGGGGAAAAAAAAAAAAACAAACAAACAAACAAAAATTGGTACAACTCAGGCTCGATTTTACCAAAAGGAGACTGTTTTAAATTTCCTTGGCTGGGCTTTGATAATGAATTTCAGATTCATTATCAGGTAGCAAAGTCCACCCAAGAGTAAACTGCTGCTAGTGTGTGCCAGCGAGTAAGGTGGGATCTGCTGCAGAGGAGCTTCCAACGCTTCCCCTCATCCAGTACCTTTCCCAGGGAAAATTGTAGGATTTGTCTTTTTATTAAAAGTGAAAGAATCCGGTGTCTGCCCCTCCAGCTGGAGATGCCCCAGTCTAGACCTGTTCTGAGGAAACACGGGAGAACAAGGCACGTGTTCGTGAACGCAGCAGAAATGGATGAAAACTTGAATTTTGCTTCCCTATTGAGCAAAAAAAAGGCAAATTGCCCTAGTTTTTTTTTTTCTTTTGCTTATTTACGTTACAAGCAGCAATGGAGAGACTCATCTAATGATCATGTTCCACTGGCATCGTTATTGTGATCAGTCATCCTTCAAAGGGGAACGTCATGACGTCAAATTGAAAATAGGCAACGGCCATCTCAGTTCCTTGGGAAGGTTGTTGCTGGGCAAGTGCACGTAGCTGCTGTTAGCCACTTGATGCTTTCCCCCCCCCATATAGAGTGTATAATTTCAACATCACTTGGAGCAAAACTTTATTTGTAAACTGTAAGTTCCATCCCATATACACAGAAATAAATTCTTGAAAGATCCAATTTGGACAGATGGTTACTCTGGTCTTGGAGGACAGTGCAGCATTCACAGGATGGATGAAGGAGAATTGTACATTTTCAGAAAGCTTACGATTCCCTCTAGGATTTCAGTAACCATGGTAACATATATAGATAGATAGCAGGCCTGATTTCAACCCATGCTTTATTGTTCCAGCAGTAAAGAATTAGATTCTATAAATAACCACCCTGGCCATTGGCATAAAACACTGGCCTTTTACTTCCCCGTTAAAAAAAAAAATGCAGGTTTTGTGTTGCTACAGCTAAAAATTCAGTATAAAGTGCCAAGATCAGTTCCATAATAAACTATGTGGGATTTCTTGTTTCGTAAGCCACGGTGAGGAAGGGCAGAATTAGATTTTAATGAATACAAAATAAATATAAATGTGCTCAACAGAACTTAAGCTCGAAATTGAAAAAAAAAAGGCACCCCCATCAAATTTTCATGTGTTTTATTTAGGTGAACGTACACATGGTCCACATACTCCATGAAAATAGTCATAAAATAATTTAAGAACTTATGTTGAAAGGTAGTAGCAGCACCATCGGTATTGGAATAGCAGAAAACTCATGCCCCATAGGACATACATTTATGCCTGGATAAAAATGCCATCATTTTTAACAGGGGATGGGAATGGCTTTGTAGGATGTTTGGGGGAGTTGAAGTTTTTTTGCTAAATACTTCGACGATTAATGTTACAAAAAATACAACTAAGTAAGATACTGCATAGTATTTTAATTAACAAAGAAATCGACATTGAGCTGTGTAAAGCAAGACTCAACATCTCTGCTTCCACGTACATTTCATTTGAGTAGAGAAATCTAAAATTTAAAAACAAAATATAGACCTAGTGTATTCTCTAAACGACACACTGTAGGTGGAACGTATAGTACTACGAAAATACATATCTTCCATTCTGTTTAATAATTTACTTTAGTTAAAAAGTTGTGAAATTCCCATCACAAGAAGCGTATACAAATTCATGACTTTAGTAAATTAACAAAAAGGATTATTTGTTGTGGTTTTTGTGTTTTGTTTTTTTTTAAACAAGGTTTAGCCCCGCTGTAACAATTATACAAGGAAGAAAAGAGACTACAGTTATATGAAGGAATACAAATTTACACACATTTTACAGTGACTTTTACCCTACACATCTACAAAATTCACAGTTATAATACAAGCAAGTACAAGGCTGGGATAAAGCTGTTTGATACCAAAAAAAGTTTCTACTTTAAAAAAAGATAAACCAGGAAGAGTTTCCCACTTCTGCACCAACTTGGAAATCCTAATGAGACCAAAACACACTTGCTCACGCAAAGGCCCTTCAGCACACGCAGACGGCCTTCCTGGGCGGGTGGAAGAGCGAGCTGCTGAGCTTCTTCTGGCCCCGCAGGCTGCGGCGCATGGCCAGCTTGCTGGAGGTTCTGCGCTGGGGAGGTGGGGACAAGCCTTCTGCTGGGACACTCATGCTTCGACTGAGGCCACGTCTTGGCTTCTTCACAGCTGGGCCGGAGTTGGATTCTTCCAATGTCCTTTTGAAGTTCGCTGTGGGTGTCCTCTCGGCATCCTGGGCTTTTGTCTGGCCGTTCGGAGACATCTTGAAGCTTTTTTGGTCCGTGCCTGAATTTGTGGGGTTGGAAGGGGAGAGGCTGACTGACAAACCATTACTGTAGGATTCATGTATCCTCAAAGCCAGCGCTTTGCTGCACTTCTCCTCCTGCGGGCCTGAATCCTTCGGGGCTGCTCCTGATGAAGGTAAACTGCTTTTGGCAATCTCGTTTGGCAGCTCTAAACATTTTTCTGAGATCACATTGCTGTGCATGAGGGGAGGAACAGGCTCAGAAGCATTCAATCGTGGCCATGGATCATCTTCCAAAAGCTGAGGGAAAAGAAAAAAATATTTAGGCATACATGTAATTATTTCACCCACGTTATCCTTTGAGGGTAGAGACAGTATGTGACAGAACTTCTCTAACCCCTGTCAAGGCCAGACAAACCTTACTCTACAACAGAGTTATCGTTTCTCCATGCTGAGAGCCAGAAAGACATTCAGACTGCAGATCCCAACTTGGTACTTTGTGTGCACCGACTTCAGAAAAACATTCATTTCAATCCTCCAACTTCCAAGTATCTCACAATGGCAGACATGGAACCTTTCCATTCAGAGGGCTGTTCGGACTTACTCGGGCCGTGTTCCTTCATCTCTGCTGCCATAAAACACTGAGGCACCAGCACACGTCTGCTGTGAACTCTGGAAGCCACACAGAAGCTTCCAGAGCCTGCAATCTTAGAGATTGACCTCAGGAAAATCGAGGATTTTCCTCAGTAGCGTTTTCCAACATGAAACAGGACTTGCCTCCTTCAGCCACTGTGGTATATGCACCTCTACTGCCTTCTGAAGATTTCGTGTATCCTCAGATGGCCAAGCACTACTGGACTGAACAGCAGAAGTCATCTTCTGACCTTTGTTACGTTTAGAGTTCTTAGTCACTGCAGAACCAGATCACCAGGGAGGTGACACCCTTCCTTGCAGGTGTCCTGACGGCACACAGAAAGGTGGAGCACTGGGCAAAGCTGTTCTAAAAATACAGGTACTGTTTGCTACACAAAGTAACATGTTTTACTGCCTAGTTTTATGCTCTACAACTTGGGAGATGAAGCAACTCCGTTCCTTGCAGCACATCTCCTCCCTCTTTGAAACACGGTCATTCCGTGAAGCCGCTTAATAGGATGTCTCGGGAGCCAGGGACTTTCTAAAGTCCAGCCCTACCTCCAGGTAACTCTTCCCTTCTGCAGCCTTTGGTAAGTTTTTGCCTCGTTCCTGGTTTTACCAACAGGAAAACGAGGACAATACTTGCTTTCGCTATCCGCAGGGGGATTATGAAAGTTAGTATTTATGCAGGGCCCTCAAGATAGGAAGTATGACCTTATTAAAGATTTAATTGTGCAGAAATCCCTCGTTACTCAGCGAGTCCTTCAAAAGTAAATTTCAAGGCCACGTTACTCTACATACCGTCCGTGTAAGGCAAATGACAACGACTCTGAAGGCAGTAACACGCTGAACGCTCAAACACACACACAGCTGAACCGAAGTCAGCGCAACATCCCAGATGAATAAACAGATGCTTTTGAAGTCACGACCCAGAGCAACCTTCCGATCACCTTCAAGAAGAGATCCATGGCTGCTCAGCACTTTGAAAAATCCAAGACTAAAGCTTAATAAAATGCAATCCAAAGAGAAAATAATCTGGTTTCTAGCACCTAGATGTGGTTTCCCGCTCCCCTCTACTCCCCTGTTGTTCCCCATGTGTAGATAAAACCATTTAGGTAATATTCTTTTACTACATGTAGCAACACAAGAGGGAAGACCTTTATGGATGGTATTTTAGAGGTTATGCTTCAACTCATTCTTGCAGAACCCGTAAGAAAGCTAGATGACACACAGAGCAGCTGTTACTTAATCTGCTCAATTTGATTTTTGAAATTGTGTCTCTAGCAACGACTTAGGTTTTATTCTTTTATTGTGCAAGGTAAAAATTGTGGTGTGGCTCTTATTGCCGACGTCTTTTCCTTGGCACGAAGAGCTGAGACTGGGTAAGGCTCTGGCAAGCCCAACGAAGTCAGAGGATGTGACAAAACAAGAAAAATAAACCATGAATCACCAATTTCATTTCTCAACGATCTAATCAATCAAATTTCATCACTGGCCTCAGGAACACTTGAATTAATTTGGTATTAGTGATTGTTGCCAGAAGGATATACAATTAAGAAACGCTTTTGTTTAATTGAGAAACTTTGATTTGGTCTCCATCTATTTCCAAATTAATTGTTTTGGAAGGTGGCAGCTGTTAAGAGCCAAGGCCATCCGTGCTGCTCAGTTCTCCGAAGGTAACAGGCACGTATCCTTTCCATTGCCACCTCTGGGATTTGCTGACCTGTCCTCTCTGGGCATCATTCCACAGCCTCCAGTTCAGACTGAGCTGGAGAACCACCTTTTATTTCTTTGCAGAGACCGTGTTGATCCCTTTTCAGTAAGATTCAACTAATTTCATCAGAAGATTGATTACCTACCTAACTTAGGCCATATTTTTACCTGCAGCTTTATGTGTAAAGATACTTACATATTGTTTTGCAAATGGATATTGGCATCTATTGCCATACTTTCTTTTTTGTAATCAGCAAAGTGAGGCTCTTCCCTCCTATGAGGCTGACAATCACTAGAACTGCAAAGGATCTTGAATTACGGGCATTTCCTGAATCTCCCACAAGTTACCATCACTAGAAAAAAATTTCAAAGTGCATGTTCTGAACTAGTTGTGTGGCTCTTCTGCATAAGAAAACTGGCACTTACAGATAACTACACAAAGTTCTTGTTTTGCAAAAAAACATACATGGAGACACAACTGCCGAGACATTTCATTTATTATGATCTGCCTGGAGACATTTGTTTTTTTCCTAAGTATTTCAAAATTTTTCTGACAGTACAGTGGTCTTTTTCTGTATCTTTTCTTTTCAACTTCCTTCTCACGCTTCTTTTCTTCCGATATTTACAGGTACTCTGTGAGGACAGTTGGATGCTTGTTATTAAAACAGAAACCTACATTACATTGGTACTTTTATAAAAAAATAAGTGCTGAGAAAATAGGATCTACGTTTTTAAATTGACAGCACTAGTTCTATTTTAATCCAAGGAGAAAAACTTCTGCATTAAACCAGAACTAATTTATACATGTATTACCAGTGCAGATATGTAGCCAGTCAAACTTTTTTGGGTTTTGCACATTAAGGAAAAAAAAAAAGGTTGATTGACACAGCAAACACAAAAATTGTTAGAATTTTGATCTCTTCACTCCTTATGACCAACTGCTGCAATTTATCTAGACATCACACCACAGTTCACTGAATCTACTTAATGGGAAAGAGGAAACTTAAGGGAAAAAAAATAATCTCACTAAGTGCTTATCCAGAAATGCTACTTCCTGGACATTTTGCAGTCAACATAGCTCAACGTTTATTCAATGAGCACTGACAATAGATCACACATTAAAACACACAGTACAACTTAAAGGCTTAAGAGTATTTCGAATTCAAATAATTTTTCTCCACTCAAAGTCTTGCTAGATTTTAAGCTCATGTACACTGGGATGGAAGGGCAGAAGACAGAAAGGCTAAGCTTGCCATTTTATTAGCAGCTTGTTTCTACCAAGGGAATGTTAAGGACTCCCTTTCCAATTTTTGCTTTCTTTATACTTTGCCCAAAGGACGGTTATCCAAAGATACTGCAGAACATCAAAGGACAGTTACTTAAATCAGGAGCAGCTGGTAATTACTGAAACATTCACTCAGAACTACACTGCAGTTCTTAGAGGAAAAACAAAACAAAAAACCCCACAAAACCAGACTTCTGAACAGCTCTGCCTTATGTTAATGGTTATAACTTCTAACCTTGAAGAAAGACCTTGTATTATAAAGCTCTTTTCCTCTAACAAAGAACATTAAATCAACTAGAGGGAGATAATAAGATCTCCCAATCCAGAAAGAAAACATTCTTTACAGCAATGTGTTTCAATACATTAACCCATGGATTACCTCAACACACACACACAACCACACCAAGATTACGAACACATGCAAGCTGTACAGTACATGGCAAGGGAGGAAAAGAAGCCGTAGCCCAACCTTATTCTCTAAGGGGATGTGTTGGGGTTTTGTCTTTTTTAAAGTCTCTGATCCCCACAGCCTAATTCCTCTCTTTCAATACCCTACTTCTGATTTTGTGTGGAATCTTGGAAAACTTAAGAAACAGTGCATTTATGTGTTAAATATATGCGTGAAGTTACAGGAATCCTTTCTTCTACATTAAGGAGGGAACGCAGATCAACAACTACTAATAAACGATCAGGATTTTAAGAGTTACAAAAACATTGTATCCCTAAATTCAGTAATTCTCCTGAGAAGTTCATACTTTAATACTCTGCCTTTGGTATTCTGAAGTCTTCTATGAAACATGGTTAAAAGTTTGTCTATTTCTCCAAAGTTTTGTACATGGAAGTGTTGAGGACACGGCCAGGTAATTGCTGTGCAGTTACTGTCCAAAACTGCAGTGTATTTTCTAGCCATACACACTGCCTAGTCCACTGCAGGTAAAGAAATAAAACAAACAAACTAAAAAAGCAGCATTAAATAGTGATTGAAGTTGACTGGCCAGTAGTTTCTAAGAGTATTACTCAATCAACTGGCAATGGTGCCACACCATTGCCTCAATCCTACACATCACAGTAAACTGCATAAAAATAAATTACTACTAGAAGAAAAAAGTATTTAGTGGGCTCCACACTGAAAAGTGGCACATTTAAACACTAAAAACCAAAAGGTTACCTTGACAGGTGGGGTACAGCAGCGGGAGGGTGTCAGACCATTCGTGTCAGGGCTGCTGTAACAGGGACTCTCTGCCAAGTTGAGATACAATTCTTCCTCATTTTCCAAGTTGCTTCTGCTGCCCTGCAGCGGCGAGATGCGGATTACGATGGCACTGGTGTTATCTGCACGAAGCATGCGCTGCCTCCACCGCCCCAGGGCTCTGTTCACCAGCATTTTGGCACAAGACTGCCGGTGCTCCCCCTTTACGTACGAAGAAAGGGACAGAGAAAGCCATCAGGTTCACATTACTTCATAAGAAGAAGATGGACAGTTTATGTGGCACAGCCTGACACACATATTTCTATATATCCTGTGCTAAAGTAGCTTGATTCAGACACAGAAGAGGAAATATTAATTGAAACGTATCTTTCTTCTTAGTGAAATGTAACTTTAAAATCAGTTTTCAGTATAAACCACAAGTGCTTTAAACCATAAAACCGATGCAATGACTTGCATAAACAGCTTGGTTTAACACATCCCACCGTCTTTCCAAAAGTCTCTCATGTAAAAACCCAGAAACGACTGCCTGCATCGTAACACACGTCTTCATGTGAAATAAATTCCATTTTCAGACAATAATCAGTAAGTCTTCCTTAGAGAATGAATATGTTATCTCCTTATTACTCACAGATACCATCCTGGTAGTCAAATTTCCCCAAAATACCAACCAAATAACTTAAACAACGTTAACATTTGAGAGTATAAGCAAACACAGTGTCAGCCACGTTGTAACAACTTCTATTTCATGGCAAAACTATGAATATGCCTGAACAACAATGCCATTAGTAGGTACTTCTCACACATGCTGGACTAAGTGATTTTCAGAGGAAAAAAGTGTTAAATTTCCAGAATGAAGTCTAGTCACTGATCTCACCATGAAGTACTTTTTCTCCTCGTGATCCTGGCACATGGAGATAGCATCTTGAGGTGGGATCATGTTCCACAGTCCATCACTGCCAAGGATGATGTATTTGTGCTTCTGGGGATCGATTGTGTGCACACTAGTGTCGGGTTCGGGAGACACCACGAATTCACCACTGTAGAAGTCATAGCTCCAAAGATCACCTAGCGAAGATGATGATGGTTTTGAATTGTTACATGATACAAAAACATGAATCTCAAACTACAGCAAAACGTTTCCAGGAAAACAATTACCACTAGTCTCAAGTCACCAACAGGAATAGAAGGTAATTTCAGCACAATTATTGTTCTGCCACTGTTACTTTCTGATCATGTTTATTGATCTGTAGCAATTTGACTAAAAACACATTCAAAAAATGGGAAATATAACAGATTAATACTTAGAAAACAGTGAAGCCTCAATATCCAAACCAAAGCCTACCTGGACAACTAAAATTCTCCTTAAACAGAAGTAAAGCCTTACTTTGTTGAACCCACACCAAATCTGCAAAAATCTGCCTTTCCAGTTGTTGGTACAGTTTAAATACCGGCGACAAGATCCTTACCTTTTGTACCGGGGATCATGTGCAGTTTATAGAATTAAGTTGAGATCTGGGGAAGAGGATCATGTAATACCTTTTTTCTCCCCAACATCATATACAGCATCAGACATCAATCTGCATCACAGTGCTGCCCTGCACACCCTAACAAGTCTGTTTATTAAAAAAAACCCAACACAATACAAACTAAAAAAAAAAAAACTCCACCTTTTCACAGTCAAGGTGCTAAACTGCCTTTTTTTTAAAAAAAAAAAAAAAAACAACAAACCACAACCCTGAGATCCTCCCCAGCCATCCAAGCAATACAGAAACCCATGGTTATGTTTTCCTCTGTACGTATTTGTGCGTGCAGGTGCCACGGAGAAGGCACAAAGGAACTGAGCAAAGGAGAAACTGAAGTTTCCCCTATTAACTTCTCCTTCCCGTTCCTCCTCCTTCCTTAGCACCAGCATCACTTCCAAAGCCATGCAGCGCTCTGTGAGAGTGTCCTTCCAGCTGAACACCATGTGCCAAATTCTGCAGTTGGAAAGAAGCCACAGGAACACAAGCAGTGCCTGGGCTCCAGCAGGAAAGCAGAAAACGAGAGCTGAAGCCTCTCCCTTGGAAGGCCTCGTGCAGTGAACCTTTCTATTTTTAAATCTCTCCTGCTATGTGAATGAGTTTGGGGTCACCTCACCGGTAACGATGGCCTGAACTCGGAGTAACATATTTGAATCAAAACATCTATTAGTGCAAGTGCTTCCTCCAAACCATCAAGTAAAGACCACTCCAACAGAAAAAATTGTTTCCATAGCAGTTTATTTCTATTTCATTTATCAGATATACTTGAAAAAATCAACTTCTTCTAAGATTGGGCTTTTAAATCAAGAATGTTATTGTGTTGTACCAACGTCTTCTCGCTTTCTTTTTTTCTCCTAATGTTCATAAATAGCTTCCTACAGTGATACACAACCAAAAGTAAGATTATTATTTGCAAGCACTGACTAGACTTTTTTGTGGCTTTAAAACTCGAAATTCATTAAAATGTCAGCACTGAAAAGCACACAGAAGCTTAAGAACTCCAGTTTAGCAGTAAGGTTTGGTCAGGTTTCTTTCTTTGCTTTTTGCTGCCTTCAGAAAGCATGCCTGTAGCCTTCTTCCTCATCCATCACCACCCTTTTAAAGATCATAAATAAGCTTTTTGTCTTCCTGCTTCCTTCCATTAGCTTTGCCTTAAGCTATCAACCAGCTGAAAAGACTTTTCCAGAATCAGGAAAGGGAATACTTCACTCAATTACTCCACCACAGCAAGCAAGCGTGGCTGGGCCATCCTCATGAAAGCACCAAGTCCCCTTCCCTGCAGCAGCAGCAGCCAGCAACACGTGCTCCTAATAAGTGCTAATTGAAAGCCAAGCCTGCTTGTATGGAGGTGCACTCTCCCTGCACAGACTCACAACAAAGCAAGCCAGCTGGCAACAAGATCAAAATAAATAATGGAACAGAAGAGCTGAGCTCCAGCACAGCACTTACTGTATAGGAATTGTCACAAAAAAATCTTCAGGCACTGAGAGTTCTTCATGTCATGTCTGTCATGGATGCAGCAGGTAGAATAAACAAGAGCTTGGTATCTTACAACAACCAGACCTTGGAATCAGTGGCAGCATCCATTTCCAACAGGCATAATATTTTTGTGTTTTTATTTGCTAGTTTGTTCATACTCATGTAGGAGAAATTGCAAATGCTATTAGCTGATTTTTTTAAATTAAAAATACTGTGTTGTATGACAAAAATAACCTAATGCTATTTAATTTTGGTTCTTCTACATACATGTCATCGTGCCCATCTGCTGCTCCTCTGGAGAAAACAGCTGAGTAATAACCATACCCATTTCAGAGAATCTTCCTCCAAGAGGAAGACGGCTGCTCACAGGGATAATCGGGAATACCACATTGCTTATAAAGTGGACTCCAAGGACTATAAACTTGCTGAAGGGCACACAGATATTCCAGGAACACACACGATGAATCCACGGCTCCCAAATCACAGGTCAAACCCCTGACCAGGAGCCCAACCTTCTTAGTTGCCATCAAAAGCCTTCCAACCTGGGTCTCTCCTCCACAATGAGTTGCCCTTCTGAAGACTCGGGTGGGCTTGACACAGGACTTGAGAGCTGGCATGCCATGATTTGCCTTAGAGCAGCTGCCAGACTACCTGATAATAGCAGCCCACATCTTTGGCCAAATCCATGCACAAATCTGCAACTAAGCCACATCTCTGCAGCACTATCATCATTCTTAAGTGGGGAGGGGGCAGAGAGAAAGAGAAAATTAGATACCACAAGAGGAAAGTACTTTTTCCTGAAAGCAACTGGTGCAGAGGAGCTAGACTAGGTCAAGGACTCACAGCTTCCAAGACTAAGTTTATTAAACACGCATTTTTTGGCAAAAGGTATTCATTGTAGCATCACCTCTGCCCAAGCAGCGTTCCAAGTCTGCGGTAAACGTACAGTGAGAACTGGATCTCCATCAGTTTTAAATTCAACTGTTCTCATTGTCTATTCAAGCTCCAAAATCTCTAGGAAATACACAATAACTTATGGACAAAGTTGCACAACGGAACAGCACTAAAGCACAATCAGGAATGAACTGACCAACTCCAGACAAGTCTGGAGCTGCTGAAAGCTACATGGAGCTTTAGATGTCACAAAATGAAAAAAAATAAAGTTTTTGTTCTTTGACTCAGGAAAAATTCCACAAAGTATCTTTGAAGCCTCAGGCTCAGCCCAGCAGTAAACCACCAGTACTTGAGACTGCCCTGAAGAAAAGGGAAAACTGCCTCCAGTGTTCATCTATCATCAGCCCGCTCCCATAAACCCACAGACTCCGAGCAATCCAGTGATCCCTGGCTGAACAGGACTGCATGAGGAGTGCTTCACTTAAGGAATAATTCTCACAGATCCCCTCTCTCCAAGCCAAAGGCCAACTCGTGTCCCTGAGACGAAATGCTATATTTTTTTTCCCCCCCTAAAGGGCAGAGCACCACAGATCAGGTCCATGCTTTTTAGAGCTGCTGCATAGATGGAATACCAGTGTCAGCTGGAGAGCACGGCATCCACGGGGCTGAGGAATCCACGACAAGCTTGGGCAGAGCTTACACGGCACCCTCTGTCACAGTTCTGCCAAGGACAAAGGGAGAGGAGAGCACGGCAGAAAGCAGAGCACACTTTTCCCCAGGCATTTCCAAGTGCTCCGAAATCTTTAATTCTGTCCCACAGCAAGCAGACAAGTGACCCTTCGGCAGACAGGGAAGCCGAGGCAGCGAAACGATGGGACATGCCAAAGGCTCCTGTTACAGAACTGAAATGCCAGCTTCTCAGACTTCACTCTGTGAGCCATACTATTTTTGTTCCAAATCAAAACCCAAACATTACAAAACTTAATAATCTTGTTCTCTAAAAACTTACAGACCAGGAATATTTCTTTTAGTGTGAGGCTCGAATATTTCTTTTCCAAACAAATAAAAATTATTTTATTAATGTAGCTTCTTCCATATTTTTCAGTAAAATCGTAATTGTTTCTTAGCCATGACTCAAACCAGAATAATATACAGAGATCTACACAAAAATTACATTGCATCTTACAAAACAAAGAATAGATGTTTGAAATCATATACTAAAGGAGCAGGAATCTAATTTAGCTACCTATAAAAATATCAAAATACATAGTCTATCTTATCTGCTTACCATTACCTTTTAAAATACAATGAAAAAAAGCCTCCTTTTAACTCAGCTGCTGCCAGGAAAGTAATTGAAGTCACAAACAAAAACACCCATCATATAAGTGGACTGGATTAGATTAAGCCCAAAGCCTTCTTACAGCAAAACTATGTCCAGAAGTCATATAAATCAAGACTTTCATTTATGTTTCTGGAGAATGCTGTTTTGAATACAAAAATATCGTTTGGTTTTAATAGAGGAGAGATAAGTTTACTTTTATAAGTCAGTCCAAAACAAAAACCCAGTTTGATTAATCCCAGAGCTTTTTAAATCAAAAGTTTTACCCGAAAGGTCTGTTAGTACGGAGAGAAGACTTGCAGAACTTCCTTTTTTCACTGCAATGAGGCAGCGCCAATAGAAAGCGAGAGAAATCTCAGCAAGGACACAGAAACCACGTAAAAACATTCAGGCTGAGCTGAAGTGGAAAACATTGTCACCAAAACTCACGGCAAGCCAGGCCTGTAGCCGCAAGAGGGCATCTTTACAGCAGCCTAGAGATGAATGCAATGCCAGGTCCCGTCCATACCGCCCAGGAATGACTGAAGACAGTTCAGTCTAAGGGATGGGGACAAAACTGAAAGTAGCAGCAATCAGAAAACTTACACAGAAGCACTTGAGGCTTTAAAACTTCCACTACTCCTTTAGGAGTACTTTTTTTAAGAGCTTCTTTATGTACTGCTTCAGACAAACCTGTTGAAAGAGTGCCACCCTCAACACTACACAGAAAAGGAAAGCACAGGCAAGAGAACAGTATTTCAACAGGAAATTAAGCAAATAATTGTGTTTAAAATGAATGGTGAATTAAAAGCTGCTCTTTAGGCAGTCTTCACCGTGACTGCTCGTCTCTTGCTTGCACACAGCAAAGTCACAGGCAGGAGAAAAAAGGTGTCTGTGTAGGGCTACGCCAGAGCACACCGCCCGAGACAAGCCTGCAAGAACCGGTATGCAAAAATAGAGGTGAAGAGCTAAACTGGTGTGCAGAAAGCTACTCACAGTTTCTGGCCTGGAATTAAATCCTTCAAATGAACGCTAAGGTGGAACTTCAAGCTTCAAAAGACAATCCCAGACAGCATTTGCTCAGCTGAAGACAAAGGGTAAAAGTGAAGAATGCACTGACCAAACCTGGACAAAGCTCTGCCTTTAGGAGCAAAGTTTTATTCTTGCTTTTCTACACTGCCAAAGAGAGAGGCAGAGGGCACGCAGAGACCTCCGGGCTGCCACGCTGGTGTGGAGGGATGCCCTGAACTTTCTCATGCCTCCACACACGCCTTCACATGATCTGTGTAACACAGAACCACAAAGTAAAGCCCATACTCTGCATTTTGTACAGGCACACACTTACATTCTGTATTGGGGGTGAACAAAATTACACAAGCTGGAGCAAGACATCCCTAGGACAAGATTAGAATCTCAAACGCATCTCGAGTTTGTCTGGTTTTATATAAACAAAATAAAAAACCAATTATCAATAAAAGCTGGAAAATGCTGTGCAGCACTAAAACATAACTTCCTAGCTTATGCAACTCTAAAAGCAGTCAGGACCCACTTCTGCCAGCACACCACACATTACCAGTCAACTTGATCCGGTGGGGGGCCAGCTGGGGACAGGAGCTGAAATAGCAACTTGACAAACCACAATGAGTTTAGGTTACGATCACAGTCACCCTACGAAGCTCAGCGATTAATCACACCATTTGGCTACTAGTTTCTACGTTCTCTTCATGTTTCAAGTTCTACCATAAGATATTCAGAGCTCAGACTGTAGCTTCTCTCTACTTCCCCTACTTTGTGTATCATCTTTGAAAGTTACACGCGGCCAGATTTTACTTCAAAATCAGTTTCCAAAGATCAAAACTCTTCACTGCATTTTTCCACAACGGGTTCAACACATGGGCACAAAACACACACCATCTTACACACTTCCAGCCGTGTGCTTATCATCTTAGAAACAGGTCTCAGTGAATGCATTTAGACAGATGGCACAGCTGCAATGCAACTCCGCTGCGAGCATCTGGCTCCAATGTTACACACACACAGAGCAGGTTATTTCCCCTCCCAGCACTCTTTTCCCAAGACACGCACACGGAAGGATGCTCACGGGAGCCCACGATGCCTTCCCAAGTGCCACATGGAGTTACTGTCTCCGCAGCGAGGCAATAACCAATACATGATGCAATGGCACATGCAGACTCTTTGAAACACACAAGTTATGCAATGCCCCTAAGCATCTGCTCGATGATATTCAACAATTTGCACGCTCATAGCCTTGCCTTACACAAGGGGATTCAAGGAATTTGAGTTACCTCCCATCTGGTTTAGGGACAGGCACACAAAACGGACAGTTACCATGAAACCCCAGGCGCCAGTAAACTTACTCAAACGGTTACGCTCTAAGGAAACAAAATGCTCTTCTCATCAGAATGGGCAGCAAGTCCTGAGGTGAACAATTCTGAGACTGCAAAGGGCTCGTAAGTATCTACTACAGGGCAAACTGGTATAAAGAAAGATGCTTTCATTGCCCAGAAAAGGTTAGCAGAAGTAGCTACGCTTAAAATGCAGAATACTCTGTTACAGTTTAAAATATTTCATGAGAAGATTTAAAACCTGTCTACAGTAAAAGCAGCACCCAGACAGTATGAAGCCCAAGTATTTCTGACTATAAATAAATAAAACACTACTTAAACGCGGTTCTAGCATCATGAGAAGCAGTGGCAATAAAAAGCACACAGCATAAATGGTTATTTTAAGGCAGAAAGACAGTGTAGACACCCGAACAGTAAGGGAATGTCGACAGAAGAAACCTGGCCAGAAAGACTTGCATTGCACAAGTATCCTTCCTGCTGTCCGAATCTTCAACCAATGCAACACTTTTCCAGAGTGTTTTATTCCTGCAGTTTTATTTCTAAAACCTCTGCTGTACTCCTTTCAATGAGTGCTACACTTAAGGACTGGATGAGGGATGCAACTCCATCAGAACGTTTTAAAGCATTGTAAGAGAAAGACAAACTTCAAAAAACAACCCTGTTCTAAATTTTAGGGGTTTTAATCACATAATCTTCCCCCTTTAAAGACAGTATATTCACAACTGTAGGTTTTTCTCCATGATGCAATGCAGACTGTCAAGAGTCTCTTGCTCTCTTACTAAAAATTATTGCCCAATCATTGCGCAGTCTGGGATTCTGTATGGGATTTCTATCAAGAACAACAACTGAGTTTGGACTTAGCAAAACCATGATCTTAGGGAGACTGACTGGAGTACTGGTAACCAGTATACGTCAACGCTAACAGTTATTGCTCTGCATAGAGAGGTGCCACGGCAGAAGTGCTGTGCCAACCAGGGTGGCAATCTGGGAGTCAGCCAAGAGGTCCAGCAGGCCACAAGGGCATGAATGCAAATGGCTTTAGCCGTGGTAGGGCTTTTGTAAGCAGCGAGGGGCGTGCTGGCCTCAGAAAGAAGTGAAATCCTGTTTCCAAACTGTGAGCGTCTGTGCACCATCTGGGTCCTGCAGAGCGAAGCAGCTGCGTTCCCTTTTCCAGGAGGTTTGTCACACCTCCTCAGAAGGGGACGTGAAGAGGCTACGGAGGCTCCTTGAGCAGGCAACACCAAAACAGTCATGCTGTAAATCTGTTTCTCCACGATTTGAAGAGGCCAAAGCCCTATTTTAAGCTTTCAGATCTTCTACCTTTTGAAACCAAGAATTATTAGAAGATCGGTGTTCTCATTTTTTGGACCTGAAACTCTCCAGTAATCCTCTTCATTCACGTAACTGGAAAGAATGCAAGAGGGGGCTAACGGATGCATCATTCCTTGAATTCCCATCTGCACACTACACCCAGCCAAACCCTGTTGTTCAACTTGCTGAGAGGAATCGGACCAGAAGTCATCGAGCTATTTAGACACACAAAGAACTCGCAATCATAGGAATGAAAGATTCATCAAAATTAAACATACACTTTTTGTAATCTATGAGGAACATCTACTCTTCTGCAGAAAAGGGGAGAGGAGGGCTACGTTGCTCAGTGGACAAAGATCTCTGTTTGCTAGTCATCTATCAACTCTGAAGGATTTACTCAAACTGTCAAGTCAGTTTAACCATAAAATGAGCATCTATCTTGCCTAAAATATGACACAAAGACTTGTAAGATAAAGAGGAAAAGGTCCGTAGAATTAAAATTTAATTTTTCTTAGAAGATGACCATTCAGCCACCTAGCCACCTGTGACTCCTTCCTTAATATACCTTTTACAACATTAGTTAACCCTGGACAAATCCGTATGAAACGGATATCACTGCCTTTGAAATAAGACACAGTAAGGTTGTGCAATTAGCAAGACAACCACAGCCCCAGGAACAGACTGTCCCCATGACACACTGCCAGCTGATCTAGGAACGCTGACAACACTATCACGTAACCGTCAAGCTTGCCAAGAAGATATTAAGTCACGGGACAGTTTTCACAGGTAAAAATATGATACCACCTTTCCATAAAATCAAACCCATGCTGGGTGTGGCCAGGTAGAGGATTCTTCACTGGGGCAAAGGGAGGAAGGAAACAAAACGAGCTGCAGAAGACTGGAATTCTGCAATAAAAACTTAGGAGAAAAACCTGACCAGAAAACACTAACACTCATGGGCAATAGATACCCAAAGATTAAGTTACAAAGTACTTCCCAAAACCCATTCATAACAAGTTTGCTGGGTACTGTCATAGGCCTTTTTGCCCTCTGAATAAAATGTTCCTCAAAGGTAGTTTCCCATTACTGATACTCTTGCAAAGGCAAGTTTTATATGTAACACAGACTTGACTTTCATCCCTTTGTTCATCCTACGCTAAGTCTTGAAAGAAAACAGATGCACCACCAAAGGAAGACCAAAGTAATTTGTGTGCTATGCAGCAGAACTCCTTACCATCACCTAGTCAAAAATCACAGTTCTGCCATCTCAGTAAAAGACAAACGTGCTATTCATCTTGGAGACACAAACTGCTTTGTACATTGTCATTTGCAACGGAATCATAGAATGGTTTGGGTTGGAAGGGACCTCAAAGATCATCTAGTCCCAATCTCCCTGCCATGGGCAGGGAAACCCTTGAAGTACAATCCTTGTAGACTGTACTTCAAGGGTTTGATTGAATTCATGGGTTTGATAGATAGTAGAAATGAAGTACCCTCCTTGCAGACCGACGCTGAAAATCCCACATGTTGTAGGGTGAGTCCTGCACTCAGCTCTTACAGTTTTATTTGAAAAATGAAATGCATATTGTATTAAAAAGTGGTTTTAAAAGGCCTAGACTTTCAGAAGGCCTTGTAAACAAGGCAAGCGAGTAAACCCCTCTAAACTACCTGTTTTGGCAAAAAAGGGTACAATCTAGCTCGGGTGGCCTGGGTGCACAGTGCCCCACTTTCCAAACACAGGTAGGACTTACCAAGCGCCCTGGCAACCGCCAGGAAGGGAATCTGGTCGATGACGGTGCTGCGGCGCACAGGGCCGTTGTGAGTCAGACGGGGTCTCTTCCACACGACGCGATTCACACCGGACTTGTTGATCACACTGAAACCGTCAGAAAGAGGCAGGGTTAACAGAAAATGGAAAAGAAAGCAAGGAAGTTAGTTTCAACGAGGCAAAACCAGTTAACTATGCAAATATGGAGGCAATAACGACAGCACCCTCAGGGAAGTCCACGGCACAATTAAATATTTCAAAACACACGGTATCACTTAGATAGTTTCATTCCATATTAAGCCAAAGGGAAAAGTGAGAGATGAAGAGCAGAATAAAAGAAAAAGCAAGGGAATGAAGACCTGGAAGAAATTCTCACTGGCTGCAACCACCAGCTGTATCTTTTTAATCTGGTGGAGAAGCAGCAAAACTGAATTTGCTTTCATCAGATGAAGACCATCAACATCAACTCACTCGGGTGGAAATATCATGTAGTTCCTCCTTCAGTTTTCTCCATCTGCCAAAGTTTGGCAGTAAAAAGCAGCACAGTACAGTTGAAAAAACAGGAGAAAGGAGCAGCCTTCTGTAGGGATTTCCTCAACGGTGCACCAATATGAGGCAAAAATAAAAGAACTGTTCATAGTTGCTACCTGCTGGAAGCAGGAGATAGGAAGCAGCTCTGCATTTGAACGTTAACACCTGCTGCGAGGCACCGAGCACTGATTTTCCTTCTTAGGGATGGCATGAGAAGGGTCAGCTGAGAAGCTACAGAGAAGTAAATGGGGCAGCTGTTATCAGGCAGGAGAGAACAGAGAGAGAATGAGCAAGAAAAGGCAACGGAACAAGGAATAGCAAAGCTCAGTCCCTACCAAGTGAAGAACGAGATACTTAAAAGCCAGCTTTCATCCAAGAAAGCCATTGGTAATTAGAAACTCAGCAGCTCTGGAACAGCCTCAAGATTCCTCATACTGAAGCTATTCAAGATGCACTTCCTGAGACTTCAAAGGCCTTAACAACAAGGGCATGTTTAGCTCCATCCCGTCGCAGGCACAGCACGGCAGAGTCACACACACCACATCCCAAAACAGACTTCATCCCCTCGCCCAGCTAATGCCACACAACTTCAGTCAGTATCTGCAAGGAGACCTCATCCCACGCTCACGGACTGCTCCTAGGAAAATACCATTTTTAATGAAAGATTCCATTATGCTCTCCCATTAACTTTTCCCAGTTCGCTCTCATGAAAGAGAAGACATTCACAAGCATAGCTGCACAGTTCCACCTCACTCCTACCATTTGCCTCACAACAGCTAGCCTGGGAAAAACAGGAGTATCAGTAAAAATAAAGGTTTAAAATAAATTAACCATTTCTGGTGATACTAAATTCCAGGGAATGCTTCTTTTTAGCTTCAGAGACTTTCAATCTCCAAGATACACAACTTGGAAACCTCCACATTTACAGATATCTGAAGGTTTATGAGCTGACAGGGTTCTTGTGTGAGTGATGTCAACAGGAAAAGCTTCACTGATCCCTGTCTCTGTGCTGCTAAGAGAAGGAAAAACTGTGCCCATCCATCTGGTGCGGTACTTCGGAGCGAAAGAACAGAGAGCTCCTGTGAAGCCACGCCAAACGCGAGCCCTGAGGTTTGTCTCCAAACATTAGTGCCATCTGACAAACCTGCCTGCTCTCCTCACTCCCAGGGAACACACATCATCCACAACTCGGAGATGTTCCAACAGCTGCCAGCTCCTGACAGCAACGAAATTACTAACGTGAAGACGCACGTTAAAATGTGATATTCTAACATTTTAAGCATATATTTAAATACAGTATCTTGTTTCACATCTATGATTTTTTTTTTTTTTATGTTCCTTAAACAGAAGCTTTGAAGAGCCTACTCAACAGCTGCCATTGTTGCCTCAGGAACAATGTAGAACGCATGAGACTTCAGAGAGAATTTTGTGTCAAAACTACTTTGTTTTCACCATTTGACAAAACTGATATTCCAGAGCTCCTATCATTATCTGTATGAAAAGGCAATTTTTATCGCCTCAGATTCTAATGAAAATAGGCCAAACATCAGTACCTCCACTTTCAAAGTTTACAGGGAACGTTCAGAATATTAACCATACCTCAGCAGCATGGGAATCCACTAGGAAATTAAAATTTTGTTTATATCATAAACCACTGGCAAAAAGCACAACGGTGTAAGAATGGATCACTAACTTATTCCCCAACAAGCTAGAAAAAAAAAACCAAAACAGAGCATAGACAGGGGAAGGAATATAAACAGACTACGAGACTCATCAGCTTGCTTGCCCCCTGCTAAGCCTAGTTTTGTCTGAAAGACACAAATGGCACCCCGAGATAAAACCTGAAGTAAAAAGCATAGAGACAGTTACCTGCCCCCAAGGCCTTCAATTCTCTCCCTTTCTTTGGGAAGCTCTGGCTTGTGGTCCTGTGTCACCTCCACAGCTCTCACAAAGTCGTCTTTGGGGTCATCCTGGACTCCGAGCACCACTCCTGAATCGCCAACATGAGCAACATACATCTTCGACCCGCGGATAATCACCACGCTGGCAGTAGTTCCCGACGTGCTCGGGAGACCTGTCATGGTCTTTGGCCACTCTGCTGCAATGAGAAAAAAAGGATATAAAAACCACCTTTGTTTTTAACTCTGCAGAACTGGTAATGTTCTGAAGATCAACATGAGAGGTGTGTCACAGACGTTTGGGTAAGGTTACAATACAGAGTGTACGTAACCACAGTATGGCCAGGCAAACCAGTGCCCTCAGGGTGCCCCTCACCTTCATAACACCACTGCCCTAGCTACAGCTTACACTGGCACATATATATACAGTCAGTATCAAAGCACTGAGATAGGATTCAAAAAACCTGTCTCCTCTGGTTTAACATTCCAAGTATCAGTATCATAGAATGGTTTGGGTTGGAAGGGACCTTCAAGATCATCTAGTTCCAACCCCCCTGCCATGGACAGGGACACCCTCCACTACACCAGGTCACTCAACGCCTCATCCAACCTGGCCCTGAAAGAAGAATACGAAGTAGAAGAACATGGGGGGAGATGGGCTCCTTGAGTGTTGAACAGGATCGATGAAGCATTTTGCTAAGATCTACTGTTCACTTCTCTGTCTGATGAGGTAGAAACATCATGAATTAGGTCATTTTGTCTGGACATCTGACTGGCAATCAGGTTTTCTGGACATTCCTGATCCCCTCGGAAGGAAAGAAAACACTATTTTACTTTCAGATGTTGAACAACATTTTAAGTCGAATAATATCTCAACTGTTTTATTCACATTTCCTTCTGGAAGACTGAATAACGCAGACTACTTCAGTATGCTATCCATAACCCAACACCAAATCTTCTGCAGAAGATATTCCTTGAATTCAGAACAATAACACACCTATATGAGTGTGTACTACTCACGGTTAGGCAACCTCCTCCCTTCTCAACTGCTCTGTGCTCAAAACACTTACATTAATTTCCCATTCCACTGCTCTCCCTGTTTATGTCCAATCCAAACGTCTCTTTCCTTTTCTTGCCTATCTTTGCGTCTACACATCCAAATTCATCTTCCAAAACTCTACAAAGTGATTGAGACAACATCCCAATTAAGAAAGATTGGCCATACCAGCCCTCCTTCCTACTTCAGCACCCTCAGAAAACAGAACTCGAGTTCCCAGTTATCGGCTGGTTTCAACTGTCAACAGCAACCTCACGTTTCTTCTTCACTGCACCCACTCACGTCTTCATGTCTGTGTCTCATTCTGTCTTCTGCACTTCACAAGTCACGCTCACACAGTACGATATAAAAATCCCACTGTGATACATGTTCTGTTTGCAGAAAATACCCCATCTAGACTGCCAAAGTGCTACGTTCGTTATTTTCCTATGGCACAACAAACACTCACGGAAAAAAAAAACCCACAATTAGGCCTTCCCCTCTGTGAAAATAGATATTTGAAACCTCAAAAGTTTTAGGCAGAAGGAAAACATTAGGAACTTAATAAGTTTAGTGCCACTGAATGATGCTCAGATGCCCAAGGCATGGAAGGAAAGCCATGGAAGACGTGCTGAAGGAGAAGCAGGATTACAGAGACAGTCTGATGAAAAAACTGCATTTCCACATTGCTACCTACTAAAGATATGCAGCGTAATTAAAACATTTAAGTTCTAGCTTTGTGTTCTAAACACTAAAATCCACTTTCTCCCTAGGAGTACCTGTATTACAAGAGCACAAACACTCAACCAGTTCATTGGAAGTACTTTGTCTGGCAATTTTAACTATGGATATTAAATCTAACACATTCCAAATGGAAAGCAACCGAGGGAGGAAGCCGAGTAGTAACGAGGACTTCAACCATGCACTTAACAGAAAACAAGCTGCAACTAATGAGTTCCTGTCAGTGCAACAAAGGCTCATAGCAATAAAATATATTTATATTAGAGAGTCCAATCAGTCTTTATGGGAATGAGGAGCACAGAGAGTGAAATCACCCACTTAGGAGAAAAAGAATGACACAGCAGCCTCGGATTTTCGGCTTCAACAGAACCAGAAATTAGATCTGCCCATCATCAAGGGATTTTAGTTTATGCTTTGCTCCTGTTTAGAGATAAGTACGATATACAGCACAGCAGATTCCTTTCTTTAGAGATTACGTCTCATCAGAAATTAACAAAAGTGTCAAAACGATGGAGTCATCCGCTGAACTCGTGTATTAAAATCAAAGTCATTCACCCAACTCCTCCACGTACCAGAAGAATGCTTCTATCAATCTTGGAACCTAAGCAAGAAGACATCTTTCTAAAATAATTTTCTCCCTCCGCTTGAAAAGCACCACCCTTCACTCAGTTTTGTAACTGAGTTCGTAAACTCAACTGGTTTTGTAGCTGGCATGTCAGCTGGCAAATTAAAATTGTCACCTGCTCCCAGGACAGGAAGTAGAAAGCATTTTGCTTCATGAAATTCGACTTGGTTGCATCTTTCCTTTCCTTTTATTCATTTGAAAAAATAAAAAGCATTGTAATGTGGCACTCCTAGAAACAAACACATACCAGACACTATCATCAAGAAAGTTTTCTTCCTTGCTGAATTCTTTTCCTACTTACTACCATGAGTCAGAAAAACTCACCAAATGCTATTTTTAAAGCCTGTTCTGGCTACCTTGTTGTTTTTCTTGTATTTAGATGCAAGATACGAGACAAAAATATTATTTTGACTTTTAAAAGAAATAAAGGCTTTTGCTTTTTTTTTTTTAAGATACCACAATAGTCCAAATGCCCATGTGCGGAGAAGGGATTTGGAGAAGTACTGAGACGACTCAATATGAGTTAGCTGCAGGAAGTCTCGTTTATTGCGCAGTTCTTATTGCTTATATAGGCAGTATTTGCCAATAATCCTAAGACCACACCTTTTCTACACCATTATTGGATGATACATATGCTTGTCATATTTAACAGCTTATTTCAAACAGGTACCCGCCTAGCGAAGCTCTGCTCTAAGCAAACACTACTCCCTTATCATACTGCATAGTTTTCTTATCCTTAACTTCAAGGGCATTCTGCCCTTGAGGCCTAACTTCAGAGCTCCAGTCTCTATTTACACAGGATTTTCTTCGTGCAGTCTCTTCAAGGATCTGCACTCCGACACCCATGTATGATCAAAAGGCATTTTCTCCTCTAACGAGTTCACTGAGAATATATTCTACTTAACAGTTAAGAGTAACAGTGCATTGAACTCTTCTTTTTTCAGCAACATCAGCTCTGGCTGCCATTCTTATTTAAATACACACATAACCCTTCTTTCCTCCCTGGCCACACCAGCTCAAATAGAAACACAAGCTGCTTCTTCAGCACACAACCGGCATTAGTAACACCCCTTCCAACTAACAGTATTAAATGCCATCCACATTTGAATTTGGAACTTTACTTCCATAAGCTCAGAGCAAATCATCACCCATTTTTCATATCACACTGAGCTGATGGATTAAAAGAAACCCTGAACTTACAACAAAACTCTCGAAACAAAAGTCACACTTCAAACAGATATGTGAGTGGTCCATGGATGACATACCACTTCTACAACTTTAGCAACAGAGAAGTACCTCTGGGAAAACAGTTTGTCAAAGTTTCCTTGCGGGCCTGTATCCCTAATTTTGTATTTCTTGTACTGAATTATTAAGCTTTGTACCAGGAACATCGATACATCTCAGGACAGACGTGACTCCACTACAGCAAGGGGGTTTAAAGCTGAAAATCACATTATTTATGAAACGTGCAGTCCACACACTGAACCAGCTGATGCGATGGAGAGGAGGAGGTAAACCCACATCTGCGTCTGGCAGGGTGCTCACATCACCTCTTACAGGCTCTCACCATTCCTGCCCACAAAATACCACGTCTTCCAGCTTCACAGATGCACTTCCCACTCTTCCACGAAAAAAAAAAAAGATGAAAGAAAACAAACAAAAAATATACATTAAGTGTTCAAGATATCTGAAGCTATCTAGTTTGTTCCTTACAACAGCTTCAAGAAACAAATCCATGCAGCTTTCCAGGATCCTAAATTGTTCATACACAATTTGCAATTACTTCTTACTTTTTTCACCCTTCTTGTGGTGGAGAGACTGGAGAAAGGGGTAGTAATTGGTAAAAACAAACAACCCATCCCAAAAAGTGTAACTGTTACGCAAAATATGGATCGTACACCTGGATAGCACATCTGTAACAGGAAAAAAAAATACTCTGCCACAATCTAAAAAGTAAATTCATTTATGATGGTTGGTGTGTGATCTGAGACACACAGACTGCTCCAAAATGCCCTTGTGGAAGTTTTGCTCCTGTTTATTTTTGAGAATGATTCATGATTATTTTGGGAATCAAAAATTGCTAAAGAATACCTTTTCTTTTTATTCCACTGTTTTTACAGACATTAAGTCAAACTAAAATACTTCATTTCCAACTAATTTGAAATATTATAAAATACTTAATTTTCTAATTAGTCTTCATTAATTTCTAGAAATTCTTATTAAACATTATCCTGAAAACCTGCATTGCCTCAAGTAGTCCAAGTCCTTTTCAGATAAGAATACATACATAAACTCTTAAATATGTCTAAGAATAGTCCCAAAATTATGACTTTGCAGTGAAAAATTACAAAACCACTTTGTTATTACACCAGAGATTAAAACATTATTTGACTTTTATTGCTTCAATTACATTTAATGGGAAGAGTTATAACCAAAGCAGAAGCATGCAACTCTTTCTAGATTTTAAGTAGTAATGCTGAAAAATGCTTTTAATAGTATCAAGCTAAAAACAATATTTAAAAACAAGTTCTTGGTTATACAAATAATGAATTACCCAAGAAACAAACCAATGCAATCCTCAGTAAAGTCCCATCAAAATCTGGGATCTCCTGAGTATGCTTCTTGTAAACATCTTTTCCTACAACTGCCAGTTGTAGGAACAGGCTTCAGGTAAGAACTTTTCATCTGGAAGCTCTTTAACATACAGATAATTTTGGGGTTAATCATGCGGCAATAAAATTATCAGCAATAACAAAGGGGTATTTTTCTGTTTTAATTTTTCTGGTACTCTCACCATCAATGTTTCCTGTCTACCACAGGAGATGGCCACTAGGATGGCCCCACAGCTTCCAAGAACAGAGCAGCAGAGTACCAGCTTCTCCTCCCATGGCCATCAACTGGAAGCAATAAAGACTCCTTCCTTCACACCAAAAATCCAAACTATTCTTCTGCCCCCGTTTCAAGATACCAAAATACCCAGTCTCTCCTTCATATCCATAGTGTCACCAATACACAGTTAAAGATCTGCTCTGCATATAATGATATGGAAAATTATTTACTGTAAGTGAAATTTGCACTGAGATTCCATAACATAGCGTGAGAAGTTGTAAGCTAGATGTAGGAAAGCTTTTGTCCTGTAAAACTCTAGCTGTTATGCACATGCAGAAGAAATAAGCGTTAAAGTTTACCACATAGTCGACCCAAAACTGTCACCAAATGCTCACAGCCAGAGCTCTGCTGCTTCTCACAACAATTTAAATTGCTTCCACAACGCCAAGTACTATTTGCTAAACACTCATTACTAAAATAGCATTTCTTGCATTCTGTCACTTCACTCCACCTCTCTCCATTTTGTATTCACACACAGTCACAGTGACAAACAACAGATCAGGGATACTACAGCCAGACAACTCTTCTCTTTCTTCCCCATACCATCTCTCCTTATTCACACATCTTCCTCCTCAGGCAAGTCTGCTGCTCAGGAGGTCATGTGCCACTCACCACTCACTCCCCAGCATCAAGGTTGTGCTCAAGTTCTGGTGCTTCTAAAACTCACAGCCTTTCCTTTCTGTCCAGCATCGGCATGCCCCCAGCCTTGCCGTTCCTCACCCCGTATCTTTTCAAGTATCTGATGTTTGCACAACTTCTCTATTTTGCTATTCAAGAAAAAGGAAAAAGAAAATGAAACTGGTTTGACGCTGTAATTCCCCCCACCCCTCCAGGAACCGCTTCGCTGAAACCCCACGGTGCCGCAAGTGCAGTTCCTGCTTTTTATGCTCGCCTCTCAAGCCCAACTGTCAGTATCACTATGTTTTGGATACAATTTTGCTGCGTTCCCCTCCTGTCTGCCTTCATATGCAGCTCACTGTTCTTCTATTTTCTCTTTCTGGGGCTTCTGAATACATAAATGCATATACAATACACACATAAGCTACACACTGTATATAAACAACTAAGCCATAACCTTCACCTTACCAGGAAAAAAAAAAAATCCCGTTCAGAAACTCAATTCCAGAGTCTCACTAGATCTCGGGGAGAAGGAAGAGTACAAGAATGATTACTGTCACCTGTCTTGTCACCCTCCTCTCCTTCACCCTTACCCATGTGGCACCCCAGTTTCCATTCTATGGCAGTTAACCAGCCAATCCATATCATCTTCAGGACACGAGGTGTGTTTGCTGTTTTGGCACGGACCCTGCGTATTCTCTGATGCTCAAACAATAAACCAAGTGATTATGAAACAGCTACATCCTGAATCCTTCCATCAGGACTCTACAGAAGCAGCTGAAGCCAAGGCACAGCTAGGGAAAACAACATTGTCCCAGTTCACTTAAGGTTGCTAAAATTACCTTTTTTTTTTTTCTTTCCATTATATTCTGGACAAGGGAAATCTAAGGAGGAGTTCCATGCAATTACCAAAGGCAACAATACGAAGACCTCTCAATAAATCGAATTTGGACATCCGACTCACAACAGCCTGAAAACAAACTGCAGCTCTACAGTCACACCACCTTCAGCTACGCAGCCGAAACCAGGACACCCAGTCGCGCCACAATGTGCCCTCACACTCGGATTCGATCTTTCCTCCCCCAGTTTGCCCTCCAGTTTTTCTTGTTTTACCGAATTACTTGAGACAACATCTCAACCCCCATCCCGCGCTTTCCTCTCCTCCCCAGCCCCCCTGCACACGGGGGTGGCAGCGCTGGTGCCCCGCTCCGAAGCGGAGATGGAGGGCGGCTTCCAAGCTCACAGCTCACAATAGTGCGGCGAGAAAAAGGCGGCTAAATCCAGGACATCCCCCGCTCCGGGGATACCGGCCCACAGGGAAAGGGAGCGACCGGCGCCTGGGGGCGACGCCGGGGGCAGGCGGGTGGGCGAGCAGGGGGATTTGCTGTCCCCTTGGTTCTCACTGCAGGAAGGAGAAGAGGAACCCAAGGGAGAAGCACGGCCGGGCGGAAAGGCCGCGGGCAGGGACAGCAGCTCCCCCGGCGGGGACCGGGGCGGGAGGGGACGGAGGCCCGGCGGAGCGGGAAGGCGCCAGTCGCCTGGAACTTACGCAGCTTTTTCCACATGGCGCGGTGGCAAGCGATGAAGCCCTTGCGCAGCGCCGCGCACACCTCGGCCGG